CCGCTTAACTTAGCCTGAATTTCACTTCAATTCTTGCTGACTAGATGGGTTATGGACGTCGAGCCATGCAACAGTTGATTCAGTACTACGAGGGAAAGATCCCCAGCCTGTTTGAAAATGGCCGAGAGAAGAATGACGAGATCAGTGCTCTAAATGATGATGAGGTATGGCAACAAAGCATGTTAGGATTTTTTTGTCCTCGCAATTTTTTCATGTCCGCTATTGCAGCTCTCCTGAGCCTTTTTAATTCTTCTTTGTCAAAAAAGTAGTTAGTAGTTATTTTGTTTTTCGTAAAATGAGTAATATAAAAGGGGGGAGGGGAGGGAAGGGTGATCTTTAGTGGCTATAAAAAGCGCGAGGGCTACAACTCCTATCATACAGAATGGCTTCGCTTCACATTGCACAATGTTTTCCTTATTTTATTGAACATTCATTTCTTTGTTGTTGTTGTTGTTGTTGTTATTGTTGTTGTTGTTTTTGTTGTTGTTGTTGTTGTTGTTGTTGTTGTTTTGCAGTTATTTATACTAGTTCCTTACTTACTTTCTTGATCTGCTTGTATCCCATTCAGGTGCCCAGACCGTTCTCAGTTTTTCCGTTATGAAACCGAGAAGGGTCTGGGTAACAGAATGTTTACTTCCCTCCTTCCTCCATTTTTTGTCTTGTTTATTAACTGCTAACTTGGCTCTCTTACAGGATGTAGGTCTCTTAGAAGAAGCTATTAGTCCTCGCGCCAATCTTCCTCCGTTGCTTTTAAAACTGAGCGAGCGACAAGCTGAGAGACTGGACTATATTGGTGTTTCGTATGGTTTGACCACAAACTTATTGAAGTAAGCTAAGCTAACTATCCATGCATCAATCCTGTCAAACTTTGTCTTACAAATTGACTATTGACACCTTTTTTCTAGATTTTGGAAAAAGAGCGGTTTTGCTCCCGTTTATTTAAGACAAACACCTGTAAGTTAAGTTTATTTGATTGGCTCCACTTCAAACAATTTAAACATTTTCTTCAATAACTGAGAGCCAGCCATATGTTTATAAATAGTCCTCTTCTCGGCTCGCTCGCCATCTTGAAAGGTAGCCGTGCCTTTGCATCGAAGCGAGACGACCGTTGAGCGTGCAATGATAGAAACCTTCTTTTACACCTACAGACAATTATTCACAGTTATCTATCATTGCACGCTCAACGGTTGTCTCGCTACGATTTAAAGGCACGGCTACCTATCAAGATGGCGCAGGGAACCGTGAAGGAGACTTATTTCAACTGGGAATTAAGTAAAGTATATTATCTTATTCAATGGCTATGAAAAGTTAGGAAGTGTAATATTTTGTTTTTCATTATTGACTGGTAAATTTTCAGAACGAATTGACAGGCGAGCATTCCTGTATCATGCTGCGCATGCTCAATGAAGCTGAAGTTAGCACGAACGAAGACTGGTTACAAGCGTACTGGCAAGGTTTGTATATTTGACATTATTTAAACATGACCGGACATTGTACAAGTTTTAATTACTGCAGTCTTGGTAGAGATGAATATCTTGAATACACGTAATTGAAACAACTGTAATTCGTACGAAACTACACTGTAAATTTCTCTCTTTTATTGAGTATAACAAGAGTCAAAACATGACAACGATGGTTTTTCCCATGCAACCCTTGCGGGCCTATTGACACAGGGATCCCGAGCCGTAACACAACAATGACTACAACTGTGGCGTTTGTTGTCGAGCTAAAGTTTATACTCTGCAAACAGATCTACTTTTCTCACCCGCTGAGAAAGCGAGAGAAAAAGATTTTTATTTTCGCTTTTTCGGCGGTGAGAAAAGTACATTTGTTCGCAGAGTAAAACGTTTACTGCGTCAAAACTGAAACCAAGTGGAAAATGAGAAGACAAACGATGTGTCAGCAGATGAAGAGTTTGTTTTATTTATTCAATTTTTCAACAGATTTTCGTCGGCGTTTTTTGTATCTTCTATCCTATCAGTTCAGCTCGTTCCATCCAACGCTATCTCTTAGTATCTTGCAACAGAAATCCATGAAGTTAAAGAAAGAGGGTAAGTTATGAAGAATTATTGCCTTTACTTTTGTATGAAAAGAAAAAGGAAACACATCGGATTTCTCTTTTCTTGTAACGAATAATTTTTAAATTCATATTTTCATTAATATTTCCTTTTGACTTGCCATCTAAACACCATTTAAAGTCCCAGTGTGCACTATTATGCATTAAGAGCCGCGAGGGCCTGGAGGCGGCCATTTTCAGTTTACCGAAAGTCTATAAATTGTACTGTGTGTTTCGAATCTTTGACCACCTCACTTTTCTAAGCACTTTAAACGATAATATAAGAATTTTTAACCATCTGAAATTCGTTTATGATGATATTTGGATACTAGAAGTATTTTGGTGTAAATCATAACAATAACAGAGGCGCGCAAAGCATAATGGTGCAAACTGGGCCTTTAATCTATTTAACAATCAGTCCGTTCGTACCACCTTCCTCACCTTTTCTCTCATTCTGTCCTTTCTTCCATCCTTCCTTTTCCTTCTCACTCTCCCATCTCTCTTCTTTGCTCTCTATTCGTCCCTTTCTTCTATTCGTCCCTTTCTTCTCCTTCTCTCCCTTTCTTCCTCCATCTTTCTAACCATCCATTTATACATGTGTTATTAATTTCAATTCACAGCAATCACTAAGTCTGAATTAGAATACTCAGTGACAAAGTACGACATCAAAAGACTTGATCTTTACTCCAGAAACATGGTTGACCATCACTTAATTACAGATCTCCTACCTGAAGGTAAGCACAGACGGTTAGATCAGTGAGCTGTTTGGTGCATGGAATTTTTCTCATTGTCCTTGTGTTTAGCTGGTCGTAGTCGATTTTTTTCTTAGTGGTTGGGGGAGGGGGGGAGGGGACGAGGCATAGAGGAACTTAATTTACGGAGAACAAAGACATTTGGTCTTTTCTCAATTTCTTAATTTTCTCATTCTCAGTTGCCCGATTATTCTTCATGGACAAGTTGGACTTTTCCTTGTCAGCAATACAATCGGTGAGTATTAATTGTCATTGTTGTTTAACCAATTAATCAATCAATCATTCCGTTAATTAATCAGTCGATCAATCAATCAATTAGTCAATTAATTAATCCATCAATCAGTCTATCAATCAATCAAACAATTAGTCAATCATTCAATCAATCAGTCTATTAATTCATCAATTACTCAATCAATCATTACGTTAATTAATCAGTCGATCAATAAATCAATTAGTCAATTAATTAATCCATCAATCAGTCTATCAATCAATCAATCAAGCAATCAGTCTATCAGTCAATCAGTCTATTAATTCATCAATCACTCAATCGATCATTAAGTTAGTCAATCAATCAAAAAATTAATCAGTCTATTAATTCATCCGTCAATTATCTCTCATTTATCCGTCCATGTCCTTTTGCTTTTTTTCTTCAGGCTATTTTACTAGGTGTTGGTCTACAGCACAAAACATTCGACGACTTAGGGGTAAGAAAGCATCTCTTTCATGGCCAAGGCACCTGCACGTACCCGAATTGTTATTTTGAGAGGCTGCCTTTGAAACAGCCTTCCGATACACTCATTTTTTTTTTTTTTATTTGTAGAAAGATCTAGAGCTTCCAGTCAGTCAGTTACTTGGTCTGTTTAATCGCATTATCCGTAAAGTCGTTCAGGTAAGCACAAGCCATTCATCTCTCAATTAAAAAAAAACTTTGTGCGTACTCCGTGGTTATTATCGAGGGTAAATTGGAAACAATCAAACCTCCCGCACAGGCAACCCAGTCTCATCAATTTTTGGGGGGATTTCTGTTGAAACATTTTAAAACTTTGTGGTTACTCTGTGGTTATCATGGAGGGTAAATTGGAAACAATCATACCTCCCGCACAGGCAGCCCAGGCTCCTAATTTTTTTCTATTTCTGTGTAGTGCTTTAATACGGTTTTGGAGGCAGCCATTGAAGATGAGATCGTGAAACATAAGAAAGTGACGATGGAACCCTTGGCGAAGACATTGACTCAAGATYTGGTAAGACTGAAAACAAGTCCTCTTCTCATGATATGTAATCAATCAATCGTCGAACTTGATTCAGTGGGATTAAATCCCCTTTTATAATTAAGGTTTCTTGAGTCTGGCAAAGTGTTTACTGTCAATAGACCTCTGCAGCTTTTACGTCATGTACCGTATACGCAATGCATTGTAGGACATGTTTGGGACAAAACATGGCTGATTTCTTTTGTTTTCTCTTGAAACTGATCCCACAATGCATTGAAAATCAAGTAGTGACGTAAAAGGTTCAGAAGTCTATTGGTATTATCATATATGAAAAATCTAAAACACGACCGCATTGAATGCCGGTTTAACACGCATCTTTAAGCAATTGTTTCTATTTTCATCCATTCRACTTCTTGTTTAGGACGAGGCAGCGGAGGAATTGGAGGCAAAACAGAAAAAGGAACTGGAACAGTTAAAAGCCCTGGATTTAGGAAAGTAAGTACCTTGTGTCTTATATGGCTGTGTCTTCATTTCAGTCTATTTCAGTCTAGAGACTGAAATGAAGAGACGGAAACGCTGAGATAAAATCGAAGATGACGCAGGGACGAAAATGGTGAAGGAACATTGACGGAAACAGACGGAAACGCAGACGACAGCAGAAACGGAAACGTAGACAAAAACTGAGACTGTCACGGAAACGATGCAGAGACAAAGACGATAACAGAACATTGATGGAAACTGAGACGATGACAGAAGCAGTGACTGAAGGAAAATTTGACRCTGTATGATAATAAYRACACCTCTTCTTGATAYGTYTAGGTATGCKATATCTGGWAAAGAGGACGAATGGAGTCAAGCACTAGGGGGTAAAGGAAAACATCAATCAATCGTTAGCATTGCGAGCAGCAAAAGAAAATCACAGGTAAAACAGGAAATCCGAAAATCATCCGAATACTTCCGACAAAATCCGAGTGTTATTCGAATGTTTTCCGAACAAATATCATCATAATCCGAAATGTTTTCCAACAAAATACGATCATCATCCGAATGTTTTCCAACAAAATCTGTCTTTCTCGTGTAATATGACAGAACAACCCGATTGTTACTCGACAAATGCCCGACTGACATCCGAATATGATCCGACTGTTCTCGGACTGTTTTCTGATTATAGTGATATCGAATGTTATCCACAGACTGTCATCTCGTCGTTAAACATTTTTTAGCGATTGCTCTCCGATTTTTATCCGACTAACTTCGGTTGGTATTCGTTTCAGGCGACAGAGGAAGGGACGAAATCTAGCAAGAAGTCAAAGAAGTCCAAGAAGCATAAGAAATGATTASCGATCTTGTAGCATCTAAAATTGAACGAGCTTACGATGCGGTGAATAAAAATCGAATTTTAAGTTTTACTAAGGTCTTGATTGTTGTRAAAAATATATTTGATGAATTTTGTATTTTTCTTGAGGCTGATGTTTTGGTATTCTTCTGAAAGATTTGAAACTTATACAATCTATCTTGGATCGATGCAAAAATTGCTGAAGGAATGCAAAGCATAGTTTAGATTTGAAAGAAATTCGTGAACGTATTCTTCAAGTAGAGATTTAAGAAGGAGCGAGAAATTCAAATCCCACACTTTTATTGTTATAGTTTTCGATGCCATCATTTATTCACTAACAAATCATACTTTTATTAATTGTCACTTAACMCCTTATAAATAAAACAGGTTTTACTAACTAGTTTATCAAGGAAAACGAGTTCAGGTTCTTTCTTACTCGGCTGAATGCAATAAAGACCAAGTGAGGCTTCGCCATTATCAAAGTTCTTCTACTGAATTTACAGTTTATGAAAAACTTGTCATACGCTCGCTTATTCTGATAGTTAATATTATCCTAATAATCTATAAGACATTAATAACAAGAAATTTGATACGYTTGTCGTGGTTGAGTCCAACTCGTTCCCCAGAGCCMGTGTTTCTTATGGCCTGCGGCAGATCACTTTCTTTGTCGCAGACCAAAAGTTACGCAGGCTCTGGGTACGCGATTTGCCCCAATATATCCTAATATATTTTGAAAGATAAGAAAATAATTTAGCTGGATCCCRTGCGTATACTCGATAATAGTACCATTTTTAGTAACCCCTTTTAAGGWAGTCATATTTTGATTCATCGGATGGCGRCCATCTTGGATGAAGCGAKACTCGTGGAAAACGAAATACTTTTACATGAAAGCAATATATTTTAGAAAGACAGTGGACGTTCATTCTTAACTTATCATTCTATGCGTTTATCTTGTGTATAGTGAAATTTCTTATTTSAATTTGTCGTGGTAAATGATTTTTCTGCCATCCAAAATGGCCGCCCTAAACTAGATTAGCTTTTGACACAGGAAGCCCATCGATGACGGCATAGTTTAYTTGGAGTCRTAGTCGTAGAATGAGTCATCACTGCTCTGGCSSCTTTCACAATCATCTAAAAGTTGTTGGATCTCACCTTTAATCTCAAAAGGACTTACAGAAGAGAGAAATCTTTTCYTGACTCTGCCAGTGTGATCGACGAGAAACTTTTCAAARTTCCAATGAATGTCATCGTTTCGAACAGGCGACCAATAGATCGAGGAGGCTTTAGCTGCGATGAAGCCTCCAGGGAGGGGACAGTGGCGCTGTGAAGAAGTAAAAAGGGAAAATTAGAAAAGACTYGTCGCCCAAATTTAAGGGACATGGTCCAACAGCATCCCTTTCTAGCTTTTGCTCATGTTTGAAAATCAAAATACATCGTAATATCAGCAAAAACTTACTCTTTATTATCCCATTATACTATATGAATGGAGATACTGTAAACTTCGATCTAAACACCGATGGATGGAAACGGATTGCGAATGGATATTCGAAGTCACCTCATTTTCCATATATAAAAAATCTAAAACAAGACCGCATTGAATTCTGGTGGACCATGTCCCTTTAATGCATTTTTGACTGAAGTGCCGTCTGGTGTGCCCTATGTCGAACATAATGTTTTGAAATTGCTGGACCACGAAGTATTGATGACGCACRGAGCTAGTTCACGCGTATCCAATCTCTCCTTTAAGCTTGGTTCACATRGAAACAGAGGCATAATAACTCAAGAACTAACAGAGGACGCGTGCGAATAAAACATCAACATATATAAGCACAGTTACAAGCATAAGGCCAAACATTAGCTGTATAATTACAGACATAAAAACGAACAAACAAACTAAACACGCCTTTTAGTCCACATCCCCCCCCTCTCTTTTGCCTTTGTCGTCATGTGATCCAGAATTTAATTTTCGTCGCCAAAATGAATTTTCATTCGGATAAAACGAATTAAAAGCGCTCTTGTTTAGTTTTAGGTTTTTCCCTGTCTTGTTCAATGCTAATACTCCAGTTTCGAATTCTCCAGTGCTCTGTGTTAGCCTC